CCTATCTCCTCCCTCCCTCCCTTTCTTCCTCTCTCCCTCTCTCTCTATCGCGTAATAATTTTAACATAAGAATAAATATTGAGATAAATATATTTGCCAATGACGTAATTGTTAATCATCACTTCGTGATGGTATCTTATGATATTAGCTATTAAAAAGTTATCGCTTTCTCAATTTCAACTTTACAATGAATTTTACGTCCATCGTATGTATAAAGAAACGAAATTGCATTTACCCCAGTATCACAATTTTATTCTGCTCGACTCTGCATATTATCTTTATAACGTTTTATATGTACTATATTTTTTTTCTCTTATATATATTATATATTTTTCTGAAAAGAAAGATATATAAATAATTTTTAACTTTTCGCGTGAAAAAAAAAGAGATCAAACTGTCAAGCGTTATCGAGCTGCTTTCTGAGCACTCAATGAAACAATCTTTCTACAGATACTCGTTTATCTTCAATACGTTTCTCAGGAGGTAGATAATATAGAATTTTTTCTCTCTATCGTACGAGTTCAATCTGTAAAACGCGCACGATTGATAAGCGTTACTCATCTCGACTCCCTGGAATTCTCAGCGAGCAGTGAACGACAAAGAATCACTCTCTTTGAAAAGGAATTAGCGAATTTACACGAATGATGGCTTACCAAGCCAGCTCCAAAAGCGAGAAAGATAATAAGAGAAAATCGGGGTGAGTAGAAAAGTCGTTGACGCATTAGAAGCGTTCTAACACGATAATGTGATAGCTGAAAAGATCTATGAATGCGTATCGCATTCAGTAGTATTTCGACGAATATCTGGATAATTATACGGCGTTAAATCGCCGAATGCCATAATGTGTTTGCGTTCTGGTCCAAGAAAAGCGTACAATAAATGTATAACGGCAGCAAAACTGCGTTCGCGAATCCTGCGTTATGTCACGGCCATTATACAATTGCTTATGTGTGTAAATACTATCGTACAAGTTTAAGAAACAATCGATCAATTAATGATTGTACCGGTTTCTCCGGCTCAACATTGAATAAACTTCTTAATCTCAGTACGAGATCAACGTGACCACGAAAATATACAATACATACCTATAAACCTACGCTTATCTACGTACATGATATGAAGCTTTAAAAGCTTGCCCAAACACTGCGAGATCTCGCCTCATTGTCAGTGTATACAATGGTTGACAAAATAAAATGTATGTTTATATTCTACTGTTATACATACATACGTACGTACGTACGTACGTACACACACACACACACACACACACACACACACACACACACACACACACACACACACACACACACACACACACACACACACACACACACACACACACACACACACACACACACACACACACACACACACGCACGTACACACACACACACACACACACACACACACACACACACACACACACACACACACACACACACACACAATTTTTTTTTTGCTGCGAAGAAGAGGCGAGATCTCACACATCCGAGCGATATGCGAGCACTTCGCCGACGATTTTCGATGGTAGCGCGATTCTCTCTTGCTAGAGAAAACTAGCGATAGTTTGCCGAGATTTAGTAGAAAAATTAGCAAGCCATCATCCGCGTCTTTCTTGATCGTAAGGAAACATCAACACGTGTAATATAAATTAGGACAACTGACTAGTCCAATTGCACGATATTTCTTCAATAAATATTTTTATATTAAAAAAAGTGTTATGAAACACATAATCTCTTCATTTTCTTTCTTAAATATAAATTTAGGACAATTTAAAGAAATAAATTCTCTTTTTGATGGCATTCAAAGCAACTGTAAAACGAGCGCGACTAACGCCAGCGATCGAAAAAGAAATAGAAAGAATCGCGATATGCGGCAGATGATATAACTCATGCATAAGTGAACAATCATGTAATATTACAATCCAAGAACATCTCGAATTTCGAATAATATTGAAGATGAGAGCAGTGTGCCTTTGATTATCGAAAGTTATATCGATGTATGCACACCGTGCGCTATAAACAAGCATAGAATCTGCTAACAAGAATAAAAACAATTCCGATTACATTCAATTGTGTATTCTCCTCGAAACTTTTCTCGTAAAAGGAACCATGTAAATGGTAACGATAATCAAAAGCCCATCTTTTCGAAATAAAACCGTTGTTTGACCTATGTCAGAGGCAGGAACTCGGATCTTCCGATGAGGAAAAAGAAAATCCGAAAACTCTAAGGCGTGGGTGCGCTTTGCTAAGTATTATTATTATTGTTGTTATTATTATTATTATTGGTGCTGGTTCTCGTCGTTTTCCTCTTGCGATATGATGCTTGATCTATTGGACCGTACGTCGAGATCCATGGCAAAAGGTTTCGTCGAGTTGCCGAGGAGCGCCTGTGTACTTTGGCCGTCATCAATGCTCAGCGAACACTCCAGCGAACTATCACTGAAAGTACAGAAACAGATTTCTACTCGTCACTAGCGCCTTTGCGAATCGCCCCGGGCAAGATATATAGTTGGTTAACTTTGACAATCGGTAGCCAAACGATTTACCTGACAATGCTGGCGCGGTCGACGGAGTTGCCGCCAGCGGTCGGCGCTGTGCAGTTTTCACCATTGCACGGCCGTTCACCGTTACTGCTACAAGAGGAAGTTCTGGTACTAATGCTGGTAGCGGTTGCGGTAGTTGCCGCCGCTGCCGCCTCTCGCATAGACGCCCGCCTGGATTCCTCGTGGCATTCACACTTGCACTCCTCCGGTTGCACATAACTATAACCGCCGGCAATCGTCTTTGCGATTTCGTCTTCCGGTCGTGGTATCGTTTGTATTCGCTTCGGCGCCTTTCGTTTCTCTGGAATCTCCTCAAAATTTATCCAGTTGCTCGGCCGCGTTGTTGCTGCTGTTGCCGCTACTGCTGCTGTTGTTGCAGCTGCTGGTGCTCTCGGTGGCAGTGGAGGTGGACTAGGTGATTTTCCGTGACTGATAATGCTCTTGCGACCGCCGTCTGGTGGCACTCTGCCCGCAAACTCCGTAAAAGTGTTCGTCGTACTGGCATATTGCCGGCGCGGACTCTTCAACTTAAAACTGTCTTCCCGTGGCAGAGATATCTTCATCCGCTCTACGCGCCGCTCGTCTAGCGACGTCTGCATCACGAACTCGTCGAGTAGAGTCGGATTTATCGGTGTTGTCGAACGCGGTCTTTCGATCGGAATTGTCCTAACACAAGAATAAAATTGATGAATTTTATATTGTGTATGTATGTATGTATGTAATGTATGTAATGTATGTATGTATGTATGTAATGTATGTATGTATATATATGTATATATGTACATATGTATGTATGTATACAAGATGTCTGATAATAATCGCTCCATCCGTAATGTGCAGGTAGAGCAAGTTAAACCGAGTAGAAAAGTCCTCTATCGTTTTGCGATTTTTGCAATAATTATTGAGAAATCAATTAAAAAGATCGGCCAATGCGCACGAATATTAGCGTGTTGCGAGAAAGGTCTACGCGGCATCGCGATTGGATCGCGCTACGAATAATATTTCCTATTTTTTACACGAGAATTCAGTGTTCCGCAACACTCGTATGTAAACATTTATCCGCTCCTCTCACCCCTCCTTCGCTTCGTGGCGCGACCCAATCGCAATGCCGCGTGGACCGTCCTTTCTTGCAGCGCGTTAATATTCACGCGCATTGACCAATCTTTTTTAATTAATTTCTCAATAATTATTGCAAAAATCGCAAAACGGTAGAGGACTTTTCTACTCGGTTTAACCCGTTCTACCTGCACATTACGGGTGGGATGATTATTATCAGACATCCTGTATATATGTATGTATGTACATGTGTATGTATATATATATATATGTATGTGTATAATAAACTAACAATTTAGAGAGAGGGGTTGGGGGGGGAAGGGGAAGACGCAAATTATATTTGCACTTTATGTATAATTTAAAATCACTACTACAATTTGACATCATTGTTTGTACATACAGATTTAAAATTTTTCATCTAAAATAATTACCTTACTTCCTGTTCTCCAACGGTAGGGTTGTCGGTATATATGGAAAATCTTCCTCAAAACTTTCCTCGTAAAAGAGACCCTTCCGTTCGTCCGGTAGTTCCTCCGCCATCTTTTCGACCTTATTGCGGACGAATTCAATCTCCGAATCTCTCTCGGATTCTGAACTGTTGTGATCCAGATCGGATATCATGCTGGGCGTTTTTACTAAACCGTCCTTGTTGCTGACTTTATCGTCAAGGAGATCGGATCTCTTGATATCTTGCGTGGCTCGTGTAGATTCCCTAGAACTTACTTTTTTTTGTTGCGTCGATGCATCGTTGTCTATCCTTTCAGGTGGTGTGGGTTGCTGCTGACTCTCTCTACTTTTCCTCTTTGGCTTCGTTACATCAGGCTTTTTAACAATAGATTCTTTCGACAAGCCGCTGGACAATATCCGCGAGTCCACCGATTTAAACTCCGATTTTATCTCTGTTTTAATCGATGATTTTACCAATGGCGATGTTTCAATTATTTTGTTAGCCTGCGCACTAATTTTCGAATCTCTTTTCGATATTTGCGAATTTATCGGCACGCTCTGCGGAAGTTGGTTATCCCTGAACGAGCTCCTGGACGTAGCCTGCGTTGTCACCATCGCCATCGTCTTTGTCTCAATCTGCGCCTCAGTCCTAACTTTAGCGATCGACGACGGCGCTGGATGATGTTCAATCGACACCTCCGTGATTATGCTACTCGTACGCGGTTCCTCGGATTCGTACTCATCCAGCAACTTGGTCGGTGTTTCCAATGGTATCGAGACACTCTCCGACGGCAAGGCCTCCTCATAATTCCTATCGTCAGCGTGCAGGCTGATGAAGATTGAATCATCCTGGTGGTTTCTTTCCTTCTCCATATTGAACGTGAATTCCACGCGGCCGATGCTCTCTAGGGACGGATGTTCGATTCCGCTATGAGCGTCAAGATCACACGAAGCCGCGATCGCTTCATCATAACTCTTTTTTCTCTCTCGTTTCTTAAATAGACTCAACGTAGACGAAAACATCCCTTTATTCTTCGAATCCTTTTTCAAGTTCGAACCCTTGTCGACGGAGACCCTCTCGCGCGACTTTGAACGGCTTCTTAGACTCTCCGTGGTATCTTTCAGTTTCGATGTCAGACTCCGTCGTGGTTTCGTACTGGGCGACGGCGATTCCGGGCTCAATACACAACCGTCGGTTTTAGCCTGTTTATCGCAAATGTAATGATTGGTATCAATATATGACTCGGAAATATTAATTATTAGATTAATGCAAAATTTAGATTCATCACTTTTCTATCGGAAATGTTTGTTTAGAATATGGGCTCCGAAATTTCCATTCATAAAAAAGGCGTATCATAAGACATTCTAATAAATCATGTAGTCCATTAAAAAAAATATAATATTAAGAAATAAATGACGCACGCGTAGCACGCGCCTTAAAATATATTCTAACTTTTTTAAATTTCTTTCTAGATTAAATTTCTCACGAAATATATTAAAGCCAATGGTGATTATATTGCGTTTATCAGAAATATTTTTATATAAACTATGTAATATATATATATATATAGTGTATGTATATATGTATATATTATGTATATATGTATGTGTGTGTGCGTGTGTGTGTGCGTGTGTGTGTGCGCGCGCGCGTGCGTGTGTTTCGTTTCCAAACTTTTTACCGATAAATATGACAAATTTCTTTTGCGTCAAAATAATAAACACGATAATATATTTTACTGCGACGTATGTATACCTTGAACAACGAAGCAAAGCTGCTCTTCCTGGATACAGATGACGGACTAGGCGTTCGCGAGCCTTCGAGATCACGCACTTTCTGATGTCTCGGTAACTTGGGACTTCCGCTAAAGCTACTTGTCGTAGGCGTCGTCTGCACAATTTCCTTAAAGTTCTGCGCCTTTTTTCTCTTATCGTTGAAATCGAGAGTCGCGGGTTTCTGAACTTCTTGAACTTGAGTCTTTGTCGATTGCTGTTGCTGCTGTTGCGGTATCGTCGTCAACCCTTGTTGTTCGCCTGATTTTTTGATGATTGGTACCTATTTCACAGTAAGATAAAAAATATATTACAATTGTTCGTTCGTCACATATTGTAGAAGAGTAAATATTTCTTTTTTTTTCTCACACAGAAAAGTGGGATATACTTTAATAACATCAAACTTAATATTTACAAGATTTTTACATTAGAGGAGAAAATTTAAACAATATAGAAAAAAAGGGAAAATTTCTTTTTAAAAAACTTTCACTATCGTATATGTCCATCTGTGTGTGTGTGTGTGTGTGTGTGTGTGTGTGTGTGTGTTTTTTATATTCTCTAATAAAATTAATAAAATTCGCGTTAAAAAATTCGTTCCGATATTTCTTGATAGACAACCAAGCAACCCAGAAAATGAAAACTTTGCGGACAATCAAACCAACCTCTATATTGGCTTTCTCCAGAAATCTCTTCGTGATTTCCACTTCTCGCTTGAAGATCTCTTTCCGTTCCTCGCGACCGCGTCTTCTGGGTTTGTCCAATGGATCTGGCTTCAAATTGCCTCCAACCATCGACACTTTGATGCTCTCGGGAATCAGCGCCTTCGTAGTATCAGCCTCCCGCTTCAAAAGTATCTTTTCAAGATCATCGGTCTCCGGTTTCGACGGCTCTATTAGGTTGTCGGCTAGCGTCGGTTTGCTTCCGCAGAACGATGTCTCCAACAGACACTTGTGCGGACTGGGAGATCTGAAGAAATATATATAATGCGAATATGAGCGTACAAATAACACATTGTAAAATTTTTCCTTAAACAAAGGTAATCTATATCTTCTTGGTTAATATCGAGAATTTTCAAAGGGAATAGTTAGGAAATTAAACTTCAACTGAATGACAATTAAATATGTAACCATTTTATTTTTCAATCGATCTATGACATACTTGTGATCAGTGCAATAAAAAACTTACTTCGATGTTCAATCACAAGGCCATAGAGAAGGAAGATGATAATTCATAAAACAGTCCCCTGATTTAGGCTATCAGGAAAGGGCTTGATAACTCGATTTGAACTTTTTCGCGGAACGAAATCTTGTTAGCAGTTTGTTCAATAACATGTATATTTTTTTCTCTAGTATTATATTTCTCACGTGTTCCTCACCTAGACGAAGTTGCCGAAACAACCGAGAGCTTCCCGGAGACGCCAGATCCTTGGCTACCGACCGAAGACAATCTGGACGTTCTGCCACTGATGTTGAGCAGACATATCTCCGAACAATTGCTGTCCTTGCGTTCACGGTCCAGTTGCTTGCTACTGTAATCCGACTGAGATCCATCTGCCTCCTTCCGCTTTCGTCTCTTAGACTCCCTTCTGAGATCCTGCTCGTGGACGGGATCTTGTAAATCCAGCTCTTCCGTGGAGGATCTGAGATCTTGGGCATCCTCTTTGTAGCCCAAAGTCAGTTTGCAGCCGGGCGGAGGATCCGCACCTGTAAATCTTCATCTTTAGGCTTTTCTCTTCGTAACAACATATCCTCTAAATCTCTCTTAAAATATCTACTAATCTAGACTAAACCAGACGATATTAACATATCAAAAGTTATTTCTCTTTTTGCATTATTGGTTCTTCTAATTGTCTACATTCGATTCCATCTCTAACATTCGGACAGCAAACTATGTCGCATTTAAGTCTCGTGCTTTCTACAAGATGTATAAGATGTCATCGAACTATTCGGAACACATTTTCCGCTCATGCTTGTCATACTTTGATTGCATACTTCGAGTAATGCATTCTATGCTATTGACAGCAACAATTGAAAAAATCTTTAGAGAGCATTAAAGAGAATCGTTGTCAAAATTAACATTTGATCTAACAATAAGATTAACCGCTATATATTACACGTATTATATTCACAGGCTCCATCTATATATTCTATTTGTCAGTTGCGCTAGATAAAGCTTAATATGGAATTAATAATTGTGATAGAGAACCGTCGAAAAAATCTATTCCATCAGAGAAACTCAGTTTTTGAAAGAAAAGGGGTGTACGGGTGGTCTAGGACACTCTGTGTATATATATATATATAATCTTTTTTGTGTGGGAAAAAGAAAGTAAAATTTTATTTCTGGAATTTTTATGTAGTCTCAATAGCCAAAGTCACATATTATACATATAATTATACCACGAGAGCTAAAGAAAAAAATTAATGACACGTTGAGAAATTTATCAATGAAATCATCAATTGGTCGGTCATTTCAGTCAAGATTTCACGAATAATAGTACGTAGAGATGTAGGAATGATATACATAATAATTAAGAAACTTGTATCGTTTAAGAGCAAGTAAACGCGCGCAAATAAAGAAAAGAATCGATGTAATTTTAGATTTAGAACATATGTATATTAATTTATGCGTCACTCGCAGTACCCGTTAAGTAATCGAGATGAACGAGGGTAGATCCTCTTAGATCTGTCTAATTCCCCGCATATCGACAATGTTTTGTACATGTTTTGTATTAACTTTCTCGCTCTCGAATTTACATGTTTGTTAAAAATGCATTTACGTACGTATATATCAAATTTTCGTATGGTATGAGTTTCTCTATTTTGTGTGCGTATATACTTTATCATATGTATATCTCACAAATATATGGCCTACAAAAGTAATATCTATAGTTAAGAGGATGAAATGGAATATGAGAGTTACTTTCTGAAATACTCGGTAATTTGATAACCTGATTATCTGCAGAATATTTTCGGCTAACGTATACCTTTAGACGATCTTAAAATCACCATTTCTCGACTCGATCATGTATCAAGCCATTAACTTACGTATATCCGCCATTATTAACTATATATCCGCCTTTTTCAGATAGTTCATTATTAATTCCGAGATCCATCTCACTATCGTATTTTCCGAATATTTGCATTCAAAATACCTATCATTATTCTCTTTTAGTAACCCCTGTAATCCTATTAATTTCAATGTCATGTGCTTAAACTTTTTGCGCCATTTTTACAGTTGTATTATATGTATATTATAGCCAGAGAGACGATACAAAAGTTCAAAATACAATATTCATGATAATAAAATGTCTAATGAAAAAAGAGGAAAAAATACTTGTCAAATATTTTTCGATATTATAATTCGGGATATATGTATGTCGACTCGACTTAATCATAAACGATTAAAAAATCGACACATTTAATATATTTACTTATGAAATTACTTTCGCTCAAAGTTATTTGAATATTGCGATAGGAAAATTTGACAATACAAACTTTATAAAGGCGAGAAAAGGATAATTTGCAAAAAATTAATCACCTGCGAGAAGCTCCCGCTCGGGCGACGAGTCTCTGGAATTACTGTCCTCGTGGTGCGAGGAGCTGCTCGCCCTGCTGATATCAATTCGCGGCGTGCTGGGCGTCTTGAGCGAACTGCCAGGCGTTGCCGGCGTAGTAATCTCGACGATGCCCGGCATTCGCCCCGCCGCCGCCGTCGCCGGCGCCGCCGCCGCCGCCGCCGTCACCGCCGTCGATTCCCCCTGCATTCAAATTCGTATCCTGGTTTGTCGTGGATCGTAGCACAATCACACGGGGTTGGTTGATTGGTCGATGGTATGGTTGGTTGTTTGATGGGCTCAGATCGCGGGCCAGCTTCTCGCAGGGACGATCGAGGAGGTCGATCTCGAGATCGCGTACGTACATCAAGATCCGAGTCGAACAGTGCGAGGGAGAAAAAGAGAGAGAGTGAGCTGGGATAAATGACTCAGAGGGAACTCGGAGTAGGACTCACGTTTTCCACCTCGTCCGACAGGTCTTCGAAGGATGCTATCGGCGCTGGTCCAAGCTTCTTTTGATGAGCGCTTGGCAATCCTGACGTCATTTTCGAGTGCTCAGACTACGATGATTCTGGAAGAATGTGAAAAATCGAGTGATCCTTTCAATTTCTGCCTATAGCTTTATCGCTTTCGTGTAGAACTTTTAACGAAGCTTTCAACAAAAGCACAATTCACTTAAATATGATAGCGCGCAAAAAAAAGTATACGTTGTCGGTTCGGTTATTATGCTCTCATATTTTCTTGCCGTTGTTGCGATACTTTTAGAATATGTATTATGTAATAATGTGCCAACAGGTGTACGTCGCGCTACGTCTGGTGCCGCAATTTCTAGCTTGATAAAGCTCAAGAAATTGCTTTTAACAATAATGCTTATAATAAACAATAAAAAAAAATCATATGCTGCCACTTTTAGCTGTAAATTGAAATTTGCGACATATACGCGCGCGTTATGTATGTGCAGCACACTTACTCCTCTTTTTCGTGCTTCATATAATTTTCAAATATCTATCTCGCTCTCTTTGCATAATTTATTAGTCATTTCATATTGAAAACTCTTTATGATTAAAAGAGAAAATGAAGAAGAACATTCTTTCTTTCATTTCGAGTCAATTACGGGAAATTCATATTTATGTACCATGGGACTTACTAGTCGCGCTAAATTGTATGTACATCGGCAAAAAGCAAACAGACTCTTGTTAAATGTAAATTAATAAAAATCGTCGCTGCAACTTTGTCAATGATTTGACAAATAATCCGTGTGCGTGTCGGTTGTTGCATATTAGCTTGCTAGCGCTAGAATGTTAAGCGAAGGACGATTTCATTAGAGACAATACTATTGACGATGTCGCACTCTCTAGCGAAATAGGTATTCGTCACGCTCATGGCAATTGTTTAAAAGTCGACCCAAGCTCAGGTTATTCAACGAGTCAAAGTTGCACAAGAAGCAAGGCACAGAGCACAGAAAATGCATCTACAAAATAAACAAGTATATGATAGATATTAAAAATAACCCGCAATCTCAAAAAGTAATGACAATCCCGTTTCAAGCGCAATTTACTCCATGTCATTTCCTTGCGAGGAAATAATTGCGTTTCTCATATGTCAAACATGTAATTACTCTTAAGAGTAATTATATGTTTGATATGTGAGAATCTATCCAATCTCAATCTATCCATTTATGGAACGTGTAATGTCGCACTCGATGGCGAGAAGAATTAAATTAATGTATAAACTAGCGAAATAAAATTTGCGTCGTTATATAACAAGTTTTTTTCAAAGATCTTGGAAAAAGTAGTAGACAAAAATATTCGATATAGAAAATATTCACAACAATTATAATATTATAATATTATTATATTATAAATTATAATATAGATTTCGCTTCAATCAAATCGAGGGTACTTACTTGTTAACGCATTTCTAAATAACGTTTGAATAACGATTCATCTAACTCAAAGTTTGCGCTTAAGTTTTAATTAGAAGGAATATAGAGGAATGTATATTACGTGTGAATGATAATAGAAACACGGCGATTGCCTTAAGTTCATTTCTTCTATAAACATATAAAGAATGGTTTCTTTGTACGAAAAATTGAAAGCAACAATGCGATTATTCCAGTTTCAATCCGTTGTTAAATATATCTATCGCGCTCTATGCTACACGTTATGCCTCATCATACTGATGATTGATTATACGAGGCATACTTGAACGTTCATCGATATTTTTCTAACTAGAGGAAGAAAGAAATACATAAAACGTAAACTGTACAACCACATATCGCGCATCGCCGTACAAGTCAGTTTTTTCATGTACATACCTACTTGTTTTCCGCTAATCTCAATGTGCATAGTGTATATATATGTATATACATATATTAGCATAGCAGAAAAATATTCCTTTTTACCGTGTCCTTTCCACTGCATGATTTTTATATTTAAAAATGATTATTCACTCGTCTCTCTTTCTTCGTTCTTTCTTTTCTTTTGCGTACCAACGATATCAGAGAATCGAGTCATCAAAGAATACTTTGATTTTTTTCTGCAAGCATTATCACTCACTCGAGATCTATCCCTCACCTCTTGAGAAAGCTCATAATAAGTTGAAATACGCGTAGATACCGTCAAACATCGCATTAAACACCAGCATCAACATCAGCATCAGCATCAACATCAGCATCAGCATCAGCATCAGCATCAGCATCAGCATCAGCATCAGCATCAGCATCAGCATTAGCATCCGCATCAACACCAGCACCAGCATCAGTATCAGCACCTCTACTTTCTATTTCCGCACTCCCTTCGACGACTTGTCGGTGAACTCGTTGACGCGCCCGTCGAAACCACCGTCGAGATCCAATCATCGGCATCGCCGTCATTCGGTCGTTCTCGCCTCACCTTTGTAACGCGCGTACACCAAAGAGAAGTTTGCTCTCCGTTTACGTTTCCAGAGATGGCGAGTGGCGACGTCGAAGCAATGAAAAAGCGAGACACTTACCTCCCCCGCTGCTCGCGCGATTATCCTCCTCGCGATATACTACCCTATACTATCACCCCCCACGTCCTAGTTTCCTCCCCTTGGCGAGAGCGCGCTCGTGCTTCTTCTCGACAAGCACAGGTATACAGATGTATGTATATATGTACATATAATGTACCCCGGTCGCAACTCCCGATCCAACCGGAAACGACAAGTACTTACCCCAGTCTCGTGTCCTCCATTGCTACATCTATCGGGCGGCCGATCGATCCCCTTTTCCAGCTACTCCATTTCTGTATTCTCCCCTCGTGCGTCTTGCGTGCAACGTGTAAGGCCTGATTCTCTCCGCTTTTCTTTTCCTCTTTTCTTCTATCGCTTTCTTGCCTCGTTCACTGTTGCGCTGTTTTTTTTTTCTTTTTTCTTTCCTCTCTCTCTTTTTCTCCCGCTCGCCTTCTTCTCCTCGTTCTCGCACACTTGCGGCCTGGGCCTAAACGGATCTTCTCTAGCGTAACATCTTTGCCCCTTGACAGTTTACATCTTGACTAGCGGTCCGCGCCAGTTCCAGCTGTCTTCCTGCTTCACAGGAGACGCGCTCTCTGGCCCTCCGAACGGCAAGCGGCCACAAGCGGCACACACCACGACGACTTGCGTCCTATGGTCCTACAGCCCTACCGTCCTACCACCGTCCTACTCAATCACCTACCCCTGCCCCTGCCACTGTCCTATAATCATACAATTCTATCCTATTCCCTATTCGTACTCGCGCGGTCGCGCGACAAGTTGCGCACGCGCACACTCCATAGCTCCATCTTGCGGTTATCTCAGGAGTGTGCTGACGAACTCGCGCAATTTCGCGGCGTTCGTCGCAACGAGTTTTATTCGTTTTATTTCAACTTTTTAGCTAAATATATTTAACAGAGTTAATTATATAATATTGCATATATAATTATATTTCTCTCTCTCGATAGAGGTCCATAGATAATTGCAATGAAGAGTGCTGACATTATCACATTTTAACTTTTAACCGTATTGAAAATCAAATGAACTTATCCGATCATTTTGTTTTATTACCGAAAGTGTACAAATCTTTTATACATCTATAGCAAGAGAATAACAAATATGAAAATTTTATTTTACCAAATCACTATTTTATTATCGACAATGTAAAAGATTATATACCTACATACAATAAAGTATAGCGAGTTTTTTCCAGTCACGCTATTCTCACGAGACATGAGACTAGCCGACTTTGGCCGTGTTTCAAAATTCACTGCAAGTAATGAAAATCTATAATACGTTACGTGAACTATAGATTTCCAATACTAGCAGTGAATTTTGGAACACAGCCTTTAATATATGTTGTCAGTGGAATCGATATGATTAAAAAATGTTCTTCTCTTATATATATATGTATATAAAATTTTGAGTGCTATTGTGCGTACTCTTTTTTTTTAATTGGAAATATCGTCTATTCAATATATTCGATATAATTTTGCAACTCTAAAAATTATATATATATATATATATACATACATAACTATATTATCAAATTCTCTTCTATCCAATCTAACCTAACCCTAACCCTAACCTTCATCCGCATTATATGGTTTGTTATAGTACGTTGTAATCGTACGTACGTACGTACATACGTACATACGTATCATATACATACATACATACATACATGCATATACGTACTACATTCTACATCGCTATTTCACTTTACTTGTATGGTTACTCGTAATTGCTATCGTCGTGTCGTCTGCTACGATTTGCCACGAAGGCAACAATCCGAATTTCGTCTGGTCTCATCGGGTGAGCCAGAAGACCAGAGCTAAGATCGGGACCGCAGTCGAAGCCAAAAGTCGAGGGCCGAGGATATTGCGAGATACGATACGGTTGAACGCATGTAATATAAAACGTTTATTCGTTCGTTCTAGAGCTGTGAGATTCGAGTAATTATCAAAAGATCGTCTCGGCCGTGCAGAAAATACGCAAACCATAATAATGCCGTATACATATATTTATTGTGATTCGTGATATACATATGCGACTCGCGAAACACTCGGCAAAATGCAGTGGCCCTCCCTCAGCGTTATCCTTTCCCAGATATTTTTGGCATATATCGTGTATTCGATATATACCCTGTCGCTGCTGTTCGTGTCACCGGCCTGCGAAGATGGTAAACCGTGTCTCAAGTCGTACCTAAGTGAACGGCCGCAATTGAATCTACACGTCTACAGCTCCGTCAAGAAAAACCCCACGAGTAGAGATATCGATCTCGTGTACTCGTCGCAAAATTTCAATTACAATCGAGCGCAAACTATGTACGTATTCTCACGATTATTTTTTAAACATGTAATCGCTCTTTAACCGTCATCCTTACAAACATATATTAACTAATAATAATTAAGTTTTGACTCTTGACATTTTTTATCTCTTCTCTGTAGAAACAGAATCTAAAATTTAAGTACATAAATCCAAGTTGAGTTTAGATATTGTTTATAGGAATAATAGTCTTCGATCCTGTTTACATCAAAGTTTAATACAATGTACATTTCTTTTCTTTTTATTTTTGCAGTCCAATGATATTAAATATTCCACGCGAAACGCGGCGAAATGGAACATTGTTTTTACATATACTATTAGTTCCTACTTCCGCAAAACAGAGCAGATCGTTCATCGAATTGCAAAAAGTAATTACAGTACGATAAAGTAAAATATATGGATGTTTTTTTATCCAGAACTTTCTGAAATTCTATGGTATCCAATTTTAATGGCATTTTACAGGATATATTTACTTCTTATACTACAATTAAAATGACACAATACATGGTACCTGAAGCAGAAGCATTTAGGCTGTTGGGCAAGAGAGATTCCAGTGTCAAGAAGGCCAATGAGATTGCCGTACACCTAGTCTCGCACATCAAAAGTCGTGTGACTTTTACAATAATGACAGACAATATTATGCTCCCTGTATATAGCATGCCTGCCGAACTCATGAATCATATAAAGTATACAAATTTTATTATTAAATGACATTAGAATATATATATTTTGCATATACAATGGATATTACGAATACATTATTCTCTGTTCGCTTATTGCAGAATAATTGCCAAACAGACATTCCTGCCCATCGTCAACTACGATTTCTTACAAACGCGACACCGGGATCTTCAACGGATTACTTTGCAGAATAATACCATGAACGTCACGATAGAGTATTCGCCTGTATCTTTAGGAAAATTACGATTGGTGCTACATGTGCAGGCGACCGTGGAGAACCTCAAGAATCTCGGTTTCTCCGACAAGGACATTGATGAAGTAAAGGGCATCTTTGCAGATACCAACATTTACTTATTAAGTGGTACTTTCTTCATCGCGGCTATACATGTGAGTGTATAATAAAGAATGTACTATTCTCGCGCCACGAAAGAAGCGACTCCGATTGTCTATCGTGTTATAGTTGCTGTTTGATTTTCTTGCAATTAAAAACGATGTCAGTTTTTGGCGAAAGAAGAGTAATCTCATAGGCCTTAGCAAATGGACCGTAATGTGGCGTGCATTTAGCCAGACTGTCATTTTCCTTTATCTTTGCGATGAGGGTTCTTCTTTACTCGTTCTTATTCCGACTGGTATCGGCACTGTTATCGAGGTGCGTACATATATAATAAATGCACTATACAACATAAATATTGATATATATAGTATATTATCAACTCT